AATCGGGCCCCCGCGGCCCCCTGTCCCTCCGAGCGCTTGGACAAGGCGAGAGCTTCGGAGAGGCATTGATATCTCTCGTTTTCGCTTTAGTTCTTAGCGCAGTTGACTTCTGGTTGATATTCTAGCATTGGCGGAAGTAATGAATTCGTCTATAGACAGTTCAGTTTAAGCTGGCTCGGGCACTGTCGGCTGTAGCTACAATCGTGCAGCTACAAACAGGGACGTCTCCGAGCGCTTGGACAAGGCGAGAGCTTCGGAAAGGCATTGATATCTTTCGTTTTCGCTTTAGTTTTTAGCGCTGTTTACTTCCGGTTGTTGAAATTCTAGCATTCGATGCAAGTAATGAATTTGTCTACAGACGGTTCAGTTTAAGCTGACTCGGGCCCTGGCGGCTGTAGCTACGTGATCAGCCGAACCAGAGTGGTCAGAACATACTTCAACCACAGGTCATGGAGCTCCTTTAAAGCCAGATGCAGATGTCTTTAGTGCACCCACCACAGCAAGGTGCCAAGCACCAGGGAACAGCCACGGCCCGCTTTCGCCGTGAGTCGAACCCCGGCCCAGAGCCGGATCATGTGCCACCTTCGACGCAGTTTAACCAGGACGGTAACCACTACGGGGTCAGAACTCCACGAGAGGGGCGTGGTGAAATGACGGGTTTGAAGTCCCTTTTTTAATTTGGTGGCCTGAGAAAAATTTCAGATCGACGGAGATTCGAACCACCGATCTCCCGCGCTGAAGGCGGGCGCGCTACCGACACCGACTGAGCCATAGAGGCGGAACCTGCGGACGCACGTTTTAACGCACACTGGGAGGGCTAAAATCGATTGCAAATGTGTTCACCTACTAACAGAATAATGTTGCTTTGGCCTTTCCTTTCCCAAATGTTGGAAAGTGAACACAAGTTGTAAAGTTACGAAAATCTTGCGCAGCTCTACAGCTGATTGAATTGAATTCTTCGATAAAAGACTAATATGGCCTTGAAATATATTTGCTACGAACTGCATGCTGGATCTGCATCCTGGCCGCGTGCTTTTCGGATACCTAGGGGGTCTGGAGATGTTTGCGCCGGGGCCGAGCCGGGATTTCCCTCCAAAGGGCGCGCGGCCGGCCGGGCCGCGGCCCTATGTGCGTGCCTGATCCGGTGGCCCCCGTCAGCCCTCTAGAGGCGGGTCCAGGTAGGCTATAAAACCAGGCACGACTGGGGAAAATTTATCATTCCTTGTGCACCTTCTGCCCTGTGAACACCTATCGCTGTCTCTGTTGTGTGTCGCTGCGTCTCGCTGCTCTGCCCCTAACCTGCTGCCATGGGCCATCCAAGTCCGTCTGCTTCTCCGAAGGAGACGCCTCGCCGCGGCGTGAAGAGGACCCACACCAGCATCAGCCAGAGAGAAGACGCTCTTCGTCGTCTGGAAGCTGGTGAGAACATCGCTCTCCTCGCCGACGAGCTGGGGCTGACGCAGAGCTGCATCAGGAGGTGGCGTCGCCAGTCCGCCGCGCTGTCGCAGTTCCCGGGTGACCATCGCTCCGCGAGGAGCATGAAGAAGGCCCAGCTGCCGGAGATGGAGGCCGCGCTGTAACTTACGAGTGGTTCGTGCAAGAGCGGGACCTGAGGCAGGCCCGCGTCCAGATGTCCCACCTCCAATCCCAGGCGCGCCGGATCAACCAGACACTCGGCGGGCCCACGACATTCCAGGCCAGCAACGGGTGGTGCAGCAACTTCCTCAAGAGACACGGCATCCACGTGCTGGACGTCACCGAGGCCGGAGAGAAGCTGTCCGCCGACGAGCCCGCTCCAAAGAAGGTTGTCCGTGAGCTGCCTTCCAGTAACCACCCTGCCGCGCAGTCCGAGAAGGATGACCGCACCACCGTCGGTGTCCAGGGCAGCGACAAGGGCATTGACGTCCAGAAGGAGGAGGCCTCCCCCATAGTTCACGATGTGGTGTGGGGGCACGTGACGAAGGCCGTCACCGACGCACCAGAAGAGAATGAAGCGGAGGAAGACCTGCAGAGCCCCAAGCACCCTGCTGCCCGCGCCTGGCTGGAGAGGTTGCGAAGATTAATCAAGGACGAGCCCTGGGCCGCCGACTTCGAGAGAACAATCAGCAACAGCAAGAGTTGATCAACACCTGCACCTGCACGTCATCTAAATCTTACTTCAACTTTTGATTGTTTTTGTCTGGTGGTGTGGGGGTAGCACCACTTTCACTTGAATGTATACTTTCCTCCAGGGGGTACAAACAAGGGACGTGATATTCAACCGAGTATTCAACCCATAGTTAGTGTTTCTCTGTGCCGTGTTTTTGTTTGTTTGTTTTTTTAATAAAATGAAAATAATTATACTCGTGTTTTGGAATTTCCCAGTCCATTTCAACCAGCCTATCCTGGTGGAGAAAGTTGACCAATCAATCCACAACTATTGCTAAAAGATAAATAAGAAATGAGCCATATTCCTGATATAAAACAAGTTTATTATTAACCAGACTGACATCAGAGCCCAAACACATTGACAAATCTTTTACAAATACATCACAGACATTTATGATGTTGCCTCAGAGCATATGACCATTCTTCATAGATTAAAATTACTACATCAATACAATTTAAGTATCAAATATAGGCTGATCTTCAAGAAAAAAAAAGCAACCTCTCCAATAAGTTTACTTTGTTTACTTTTACTTTGGCAACAGTAACTACAGCACATTCTTAAATCCGTACACATATTGGACTCTGTTTAAAACAATACTATACAATATTTTACAAACAAAAAGGTTTATCATAGCAGGTTTCAACTTATTGCGGTCTGAACCATTCATAAGTGTTAAAATTCTACAAATCATAAAAATGTACACACTATAATGTATTGTGACAAATGAAATTGACAGTTGAAAGAAAATAATTCCCTACACTACATTGTGAAAGCACTGATTTCTGCCTTAAGGTGATAAATAAACTTAAGAATGACAATGAATTAATGTTTATAACACAATCATACCAAATGCCATATGAATTTAAATTTATACATTTATTATATCACAATCAACTACAAACATGATCAAGGAAAAGGTGAACAATGTTAGAGATCTCTGTGAACCAAAACTACAAATAACAACAACATAACAAATTTTATTGGTTCAAAAAATATTCATAAGAAAAAAATAGCTGAGCAATGACAATACTGACATTGTTGCCTAGGTTCACAATCACTTCTATGATTACTTAGACAATTGCCCACTGCATAATCGCAGTGTCTTTTCCTCCAGTAGAAATCAGACGAGTATCATCGTGCAAGAAAGTCACAGCAGTTACATGGCTACTATGACCACCATAGCTATGACACAGCGACTGCAACAGCAGAAAAGACGGAAATGATTGCAAAATTTTCTTCTATTACCACAATTTTAAAAAAAGATTAATTATATAACATTAACTTACTCGAGGTTGTGTGGCAGGGTAGTTATACAGCTTGACTTTTCCAAAGTCATCGGCTGTGGCAAGTAATTTTTTGTTATTGGACCGCTCACAGTAATTGACATCTGTTCCATCCGCACCTTCTGGCCATATGCCAATAGTCTCAAATGTCAGAGTACAACTGTTGCTTGCCCACTCGACATCTCTCATTGAAGCACTTTGGGGAATTTGTCGGCAAAGTCCAGCATTCCCTTTTGAGAAACACATATTGTTAATGACAGAAACAGAAAACAATGCATAGTATGTAAAATTGATTTTGTTTCACTTACAGTATAAAACTTCATAGTCTCCAGAATTACTGCGCAGTACCTTACTGTCTGCTGCCCAATCTAAATGAGTAATAAAGCTAGAGTGACCCTGAAAAAATGAAAGGAGTCTATTAACACAGTTGCAACATGCAAATGAAAACAGGAGATAATAGTTAGAGAATGGTGAAAAGGGCAGCAGCTACATTCACCCACCAAGAAACTTGTAAGAGAACTACTTCTCTTACGCTTCCTTTCCGTCTTTAGCAGCATGAAAAGTGCACACACATTCAAGGGCAATGAAGTAAATAGACACAGAAAAATCCATCACAATTATCCCTCAAACTGAGAGGTTGAAACTTATTCTTACTCACCATGCAGCGCCCAACCCTGTTGAACTTCCGGCTATCACCTCCACATTGATAAATGTAGACATTATTGTCTCTTGATCCAAGAGCTAAAAATTGACCATCAGGAGAAAACTTTATGACCTGCAATGATAAGAAAAAAGGATATAAAATACAGAAAAATTAGAAAAATAAATACAGAGAGACAAAATTTTCAAAGAGTTAAATACAGAAAATGTTATTAACCTGGATAGGTTCAGCTCCATCTGCATGTGACGTGAAAACTTCTCGGGTCTGAGCATCGATAGCAAGCCAGTGTCCAGTTGTGCTCCCAACGACTAATGTACTGCCATCAGGGGAGAATGCGGCAGATTGTGCTGCTTCCTACAATGAGAGAGTATTTTATTTATTGTGGTGCCTCTTTAAATAAAATAACACACATATGAGACAAATCCAATGTAACCTACCGGCAGGTCTTTGGTCCAAACCAAGGAGTGAGACATGGAGTCCCATAGATTCAATGTACGATCATAGCCAGCAGTAACAAATTGAGAAAGGCTTGGATGTACTGCCAGTCCCCACAGTTCATCTAGATGTCCTGTGAGGGCAGTGCTAAGACCCATTGATAAGGATCCAACCAATATACTATTTTTTGTTGTACCAACCAAAAGCTGCATTCCACGTCCTTCAGACAAAACTCGAATTCCTCCAGCATGTTCTGGAATCTGCAAAATAAACCAAACAAATAAGAAATCAGCCCATTAGAATGAGATAAAACATGTATCTGTTTTCGTTAGAAATATTAATTGGCTATGCTTTAAATGCTTCATTAATAAGAAAGTTTAAAAAGTATATAGGAGTGCGTCATACCTGAGTTTCAAAGCCTGTAGCATTTAATTGTGAGTCCAACTGCACAATTCTTCTATCTTTTCCGCCGCCAGATACAATACTACCTTCTTTCAAGGCACACACAGAGAATACAGGTCCATCATGAACACCTCGGACAAGTTTAGCCACAGTATTTGTTCCTGCAAATAAAATAGTAACAAGTTAGTAGAAATAGAGACTCACAAAACTGCATTATTACCTAGCAAACTCTCATAGTACCTCGACCCCAAATTATGAGGCTTCCATTGGAATCGCCAGTGATTATATCACCCAAGTGATTGAATGCAACACATGTGACATACTTTGGCTTATCTCGATTTTCAAACACACCCATGCGCTTGTATAAAGTGCCACCTGCATCCAGTGTCCAGAAACTAATGTGTGATTTCCCACATGTCACAATACAATTTCTGTCTAAAGGGTGAAATTCTGCAGCGATCACTGTATCAACAGAACACTAAACAAACAAAACGTTACATTTTAAACAATAAAACTAAATTCATTCATAATGAAATTGTTTCAAGGATTGTACCTTAGTCTCTGTGATTCTCTGGCCCCTCTCCCCTTTTTGCCAATCCCAAACAGAAATGTTATGATCTGTTGCCTCATCCACTGCACACAACAGCTGACCTCCATCCTGACATGGAAATTTCATGATAGAAATTAATGAAGTAACATGCATTATTACCTCCACATATCATGTCACTGATAGGTACACTTACAGCTTTAGAAAATGACACACAGCAAATGGATCGTTCAAAGTCTCCAGCTCCAAGTATGACCACTGTATTTAAAGTTACTGAATCCCAAATGCGAATGTGAGGCTGTAAGAAAAACGAATTGGTGACAAATTTCTTAGAAGAAAAGAGTACAAATTTACTAGATAATTTCAAATACATGCAAGTACCCCCCAATAAGTTAAATCTAAGCAGACAAACAAATAATTTTAAAACCCCATGTTTATAGATTAAAAAATTGTTAGGCATGCAAAAATAAACAAGAAACTTCAAGAAAGTTTCATGCATCAAACAAAAACAAGTTCAATACTTTGACTGGAATAAAAAAAACAACAATCCGATCAAATAAGTACGTACTACCAAACATAAATTACATTTTCATTACATGTTTAGAGGAAAAATTCCAATTAATCACTTCACAGCTAATTTGTTTATTTCAAATAATTACCGATAATGTCCTTGTCTAAATTTGCATGTAAAAGATCAAAAAAATAAATGAATAAAAGGGATCATGGTCTCCTTCAGTTTCAAAAAATATTTTAAATAAAAAAAACAAGGATCATTTTATGCAATTGTGATCCTTTAAAGTGGTAAGTTTTCACTCCTCCTGGTAGATGTAATAACATACCCGTGAATCTCTTCTGTCATGACCAGCACACTGCCCTGTAGCGACCAGTAACTTGTTGGGATGGACAGCAATACTGCAAAAATTACGTCAGATTAAGTAAAAGAGTAATTTTCAAAGAAATGTACAATACAAACTGCTATTAAAAAAATTATAAACAATTAGAACTTACCATTTGATATCATCTGTATGACCAAGATAATGTCTTTGACTTTGTTCTTCCACATTATAAAGAACTACTACAGCTGCAACAAAATAAACCATTTCTCCAGTGGGCAAAAGGTACAAATTTGATCGGCAGTCTCTGCCTCTGTAACCATAGACCCAGTCAAGCTTCAACTTTGACTGTGGAGGAGTGGTAATTTTGGTGATGTCGTATGTATCGGCAATGGTGGATGGAGCATACAAGATGATAGGCCTGCCTCGCAGAAACATTCGTAGGGTTCTCTCTTCTTCATTGTAAGATGCTTCCCGAGTGCTGAAATTAAAAACAAGGAAATTCTTTTAATAATGTTATTAAAGATGGTGGTGGAGAAATTACCGACACACAATAATGATGTGTAAAACAAACAGCATCATCCAAAGAGGCAGCAGTTTATGATTTCTTTCTGACATGGTGGTGAATGATATGGAGGTTCAATAATAGTGCCCGTATGCAATGATGTTTTCTTACTTCATTCTCCTCGAGTTCAAGCTGTGTGCCTAAAAAAGGCAGTGAACACGGAAGAAATGAGACAAGCTGCACGGCAGGTACTGAGGTACTATGAACTAATGTGATGACTTGTACAGTCTCCAACACGACTTAATGGTAATGGTCCTAGTCCCGTCCCAACCAACCAGCGCGGACTGCAACTTAAGCGGAACTGACACACCGAATGAGCAATCTTGTGTGCTCCGTCGTGGATGGAGTGGAGCCGAGCCGAGTCGAGTCGAGTCGAGCCGAGCCGAGCCGAGCCGAGCCGAGCCGAGCCGAGCGGGGCGGAGCCGAGCCCAGCCCGCCCAGCCGCAGAGCCGAGCCAGACCGGACCGAGCTGATTCGAGCGGCGAGGGAACTCCAAGCGTCCGGCATCCGCTTCTCCCTCCACACTCCCAGCTTGAGTTTTAATCCTCAGTTTTCAATATCATGTTCTTTTCGCTTCCCGTCGTCGATCGGTACTCACACAAAATCACATCCTTGAGCTCTGGCCGGTTAAGCCATCGACAATATACATAGCTTTATATTATTATTATTTTGCACACATTACTAATAAGATCTCAGGCCGGACTTGGCATATTCCGTGCCGTGCCCTTCCCTTTGGTCAGGCGGACGCCTGCAGTAACGGAAGACGTGCTTGGGTGCTTCTGGCAAACCGGGCAACCGGTCTGGGTAACGAGAAGCGTGAAAAGGAAGGCACCAGCAGAGCTCTGTGGCAACGCTATAAAGACGAAATCCGCTGACGCTATCCTAAAGCTCTCAACGCAATGTGCCAGAGCACACCAGGTTCGGGCCCAGGGAGGGATTAAGACTTGAAAACATGACTGTGCCGATGTTGTCTCAACGTAAAAAGTGCCGTCGTTTGGGCCATAAATATTCCGAATTATAGGACACCTCCACACGAACCTCCCCAATCTCCCTCTCTCCTGTGGAGAACGAAGCCCGACCCCCGCACTGCGTGCATACTAATTACACATCACTGATCGTGTTTAGAACAAGCGCCGATATGCTTAAAAGGAACCAGTCAATTGCCATGCTCAACATCGAATTACATGCATCCCGAGATGTGAAAACACGGCGGCTTTGACACCCTTCGCAGTCTTTGAAACACACTCCAAAACAGCAGCTCTTTTGATATCTTTAGCCGATTGTCTTTCTAATATAAGTGTTTTATTTTAGAGGATTGTTAACAAAAGTCTAGTTAGTCTGTGGACAGAATTAATGACTCGCTTTGATCCGCTATAATCAGCCCTGATCCTGATTTCCAGGATTAACACAAACCGTTCTCAAGCTGAATAACCTACCCGTGTTTCAACATGATGTGAGGCGACTGCACCCGCAAGTTGAGGTTTAACAAAGATTTCGTTGCAAGTCTACAAACAGAACAAACAGGCGTGGCAATGATACGCAGCGTGCACGACACATTTATAACACATGCAACTGACCACTCGACTACAGCCATATCTCATCTTGGTAAATTTAAAAGTTTTGAAAAAAAATATATGCATGCTTGCACTAAGATAAATAATAATGAACGTTATCAGCGAAAACCTTTACATGCGTACGACACGTGCAACAACTCGAGTAGAATCGGCGATGCTGACTTTGAGTCAGCACACGCACAACAAGCATGTACGTTGGGCTGCCTACTCGCCGGGCGCTCGACTCCACCCTCCCATCATGCACATCATCTCCCTCAAGATGAGATATGGCTATCATGGCGTGCAAATTACTTTATCAAATAAAACGAACAAAAGAAACAAAAAATAAGTAATGAAAACTTTTTAAATATTTACATAAAACAAAATCAAAGGAATGTTGAAAAAATAGAAAGATTGAAAAAGGAAAACTAAGAAAGATGAGAAATCAGCAGATTATAATAATTAATCAACCATTAAACTCAATCAAAATTTAAGGTGCATAGCAAAAACTGCAAAAATGTTTTAAAATACGTTTTATAAAGTATTCTAATTCTATTTTATAGGTACAAAAGAACAGCAAAAAGCATTACATTAAATCTGAGTAAGTGCACAAGAAAAATAAGGACAATGGTAAAAGCTACAAAAAAATACTCTCACCTGGAGGACATTGGGCTTCCATTGTGTGGAGCATGGTTAAAGTCTCCAGTCGAACTCCATCGCTTTGCAAAGTGGAGATTTGAATTGGTTGAACGAGTAGGTGTGGGTGGTTGAGACTGTCTTGGTGCTGGGGACACTCTTGGTGGCGGAGTGTGAGTTGGTGAAGGGGAGGTAGGAACAGGTGACACACTGTTACTGCTTGGAGAGTCTGAGTGCAGAGACCCTGTAGACTGGTAATGAACTCCGCGTCTGAAAGTAGAAATTCATTCTGGTGTCATAATCCGCCGTTGGTAGTCTAATACATCCTTTGCAATTGGGAAGTTTTATAATCAACCTGAACCCGAGCCTAGACCCCATCTACTAGTACTTTGGACTGTATTTGATTTTTGGCTACTGACCTTTGTGGCAATGCTGTTGGAACATGGCTGGAATTGCGAATAGAATTTTCTTTTAAAGAATTATTGCTCTCCACGCTGGATTGGTGATAAATGGGTTGCCGTAAGCGTGATCCACCCAAGGGACCATCTTTTAGTTGTGAGATATGGTTATTGAGAGCACCTGAAAAAATGTTAGAAAATGTAAGTTATTTAAAAACATTAATATTCCAAAAAGCGTTACATGAGGAAACAGGGCATACCTCTAAAGCCTCCATTTCTAACAGGAGTTACAGTTCCAGTGGATGAAGGAGAAACACCACCTCTTGAATTGACTGCATTTTCCAATAGAGTCAATCGACGCAACACATCAGCTAGTGTTGATCGTAGACAGACTATTTCATCTCCTTGATCTAATGCTTTCTTCTCCAGATCAGACACTCGCTCCCGAAGAGATTCATTCTCTGTTTCAATCATATCATCTGGAATAAATAAAAAGTTAACAGTTAGCACAAGAGACAAAAGATCGTAAAATGTCAAGGACAATGTTAAAAGTCTATCCAATCAGAACTTTGCTATGACAAAATGTCTGTTAGTAGTTTATTTAGAACAAGCTTCACAGCATGAATTCCATTCTGGGTCCCACATTCTGAGGTGATGTTAAACAAGAAAATATTACAAATAAAGCTATAACTTCTAAGTTTTTTCACAACTGATGAGGTTAGGTTGGTTTAAGATCCTTAAATTAATCAATGAATTTCGCTTTTGGCACAGATTGTCACACAATGAAACTAATAAGAACAAAAGCTTACGGTGTGCTAGTTTAATGTCTGCCATCAATGTCAAATAACTAGAGGCTGAAAAAGTAAAATTTCCTGAATGAACCTGAACCTCAAGGCAACAGGTATCCCATATGTAAACATATGCAGACGTACTATCGAATCGAGATGGAGCTCACGTGACTTGCGAGTCGAACTCGACAGCAAAGGAGAGGGGGGAGGGGCAATCTGATAAAAAGATAATAGGACGGTGAACGAAAATGAAGAAAAAATAGTATCACAGTCTAAAATGGATTCACAAAACGAGCGAGGGGTACGGTAGACAGGGGGAAAAGGGGGGGGGGGCAGGTTGCTCTAGTCTCAACTACCTTATCCGCCCTACCGTTCCCACCCACACACAAGACCGGCGGGAGAGGTCAACGCCCTGCCCGATAATTTGAAGACATGCAATGGGCCGCACAGCCGGGTCGGCCCGGAGCACTTCCGGATTCAGGGATCGATTGTTTTGAGGGAGGGAAGTTAGGTCAACAAGTTCATGGCATGCAACGCCTTTGGTATCCTGGGCCTGGCGAGTGCCCCTACGTACCACCTGCCGTTTGAAGCAAATGAAGAGGGGGGGGGGAGGGGTCGCACAAGAGTATTGCCCATCCGTGCGGTCACAACCAACAGAAATCAATTTTTGCAAACCGCACGAAAGCATCAGATAATTGCCCCAACAAGGGTATTCTATGCCGTCGCCGTAACCCTTGCCGAATACATTTAAGTCGGGTGGGGAAGTCCGCCCGCGGCGGGGCGGGAGTAGGGCGTCTATCGACTCACATGATGTATGCATGCTGCATGCTATGGCTCTGGTGCGGCTGGCACGAGGCTCGACCCCCTTCTGCACCAAGCCAGCGCAGCGCGCGCAGCGGCCCCATGCCGCCGGCCCCCAGGGGCCCCAGGGGCCCAGGCCGGCTCAGGCACCAGGTCTTATCCATCAACATCATTTCTTTTCCCCCAGCGCAGCCCAGGAGGTGGGCATTGGATGAGGTGCGCCGCGCCCGCCGGGGCCGAGGAGCGGGGGGTCGCGAGGCGAGAGGATGCGCCCGTCAGGTTGTCAATCCGAGACCATGCAGGCCTGACTCGAGCTGTCAGAGGCCCACATGGAGAGAGGGGGTTAGTGGTAGGTAGGGAGGGCACGGCAGGGCGGATGCGACGGGGTTGGGGAGGCAAATGAGTAACAAGCAAAAGGAGGGGAACAGACCCGAACAGACCTGTCGACTACCAAAACGGAACAAAACGGCGCGGGGAAAACAACAGCAACCCGGTTAGGCAACGCGCGTGCGTGCCGCGAGCCGCGCCCCGCCACCGCGAGGCACAGTGACACGGCGGCGGCGTGCAGCACGCCCATAGCGGGAGCAGGCGGGAGCCCGGGCCGCTCAAATGAGCAGGAATTATGCGACAAGTGCGGAGACAATAAGGCGGCCCCGCCCAGCCCCGCCGCCGGCGCGCACCGCCTGCGCACCGCACCCACATGCCCTTTCAGGGAGGCCGCGGGCCGCGGGGCCGCCGCCGCGCTCGGTAACGAGCCGCGGGACTTATCGGGCGCCGAGATGCGCCGACGACGTGCTCTGGGGTGTAGTACCCCGCGCTCGGGTCCTTAGAGGACTCTACCGCAGCACTTACTCCACGCGTCCACGACGATGTTGATGCAGTCCCTGGGCGAGGCCACGGCCGTCGGCACGACGCCGGCCGGCGCCACCGTTGCTCCCGGCGACGACGCCATGCTCCCTCGCGCGCGGCGCGCCTCTGGGGGGACAGGCCTCCTCACTACTTGTGAATAAGACGCGCTTCGGCCGCGCGGACCGCGACGACGACGACGACGGCCATTTGCTTATTCAAATAGAACCCGAAGCGGCGGCGGGGCGCGGCGGTGGCGGCGCGGCGAGCCCCGCTAGCACGGCAGCTTCATTTCCGCCGGGGAGCCCGCGAGATGAGGCGGCGTCGGCGGACAGGAGCAGCAGCCTGGGGGGCGAGAAGTCAACCTCCGCCGCGTCGACAGCCTCTTCTTGAACTTGAAGTGTGGCCGAGCCGGTTGCCGGCCGGCTTTGTGGTGTCCTTGCGCCGATAGAGCGGGCCGCGGGCCGAGCCGGGCCGGGCCGCCGAAAATGTGGCGAGTCAGCAGCAGAGGGCAAGAGAGGCCCGGCGCGCGGCGCGGGGCAGCAGCGTCTATAGAGGCGCGAACCGCCGTCAATGAGTCTGTAGCGTACGCCGTGTGGGCCACTCCGGGACCCGTAATGATAAATGGCGGCACACACGTAAGACGCGGCGTGGCGCGGCGTGGCGGCGCACAATGAGACCGCCCACACTTTCACTGGCCCGGCCAGCAGGGCCCGGCCCGCGCTGACGTCAGGCCGATCAGCTGACCGCGGCCGCCGCTCGCGCCGCCCCCGATGAGCTCCTCTAGCGCCAGCCGGCCGCGTCGCCGGGGTGGGTGCGTACGACGGCCTCCTCGAGGCGCCGGGGTGCGATCCTGGCGTAGCGCGGCGCGCCGCCCGCCGCGGCCGCCGACCTGCGGCCGGACCGGGGCGAGGGGTTAGTTTTGGAGGGGCCGGGCCCACCGCCGCTCGCCGAGAAGGAGAAAGAGGCCCCGATCCTGGATGGGTGCGTCTGCAGCAGGCTCGCGTCGCGCCACTGGCTCACGACGGGCACGTACGCGGCGACCGTCATTTGGCGGGGCCGAGACGCGCCGCCGGGGCGGACGAGCAGAAAGTGAGGTTAGGCGGCGGGCTGCGGCGCCAGAAGGACGGCCTTCACCGCGACGGCGGGGCGCCGCACTGGGCGGCCGGCCGGACAGCGGGGCGCACCAGGTCAGACCACGCGGCCGCGGCACTGCGGGCGGCGACCCTCACCGACACACACACCGCGACTACGCCGAACGAGAAATGCGTCGCGACGCACACGCACTGTGCTAAGGTCACTCGCGGGCGCGCGGCGCGAGGCGGAGCCGCGAGGACGGCGTCGTGGCGCGGCGCCCAGGCGGGGACGGAGGCTCGGCTGCACGCGACTGCACCGCGGGGATGCGCCGCGTTGAACGAACTGCACGCCGTGCACCTCGAGGCACTGCAGCACACCAGTCGCCACCGCAGCGCAGGCAGGGCGTCAGGGCGGCCAACCTCACAACACGCGCGGCTGGGGCTGGGGGGTGGGTTGCGCGCGGAGAGGGTGCGGGTCGATACGAGGACGCGCGGGGCGGGGCGGCTAGGGGGCGGGTGCGCAGCGCGCCCCACAGCGCCCAGCCGGCCGGCCCATCCCCGCCGCCCCCAGGCGCCAGATGCGGGGCGGGATGGGAGGCAGGAGAGGGTCGGAGTGGGGTGGTGGTGGAGGAGAAGGTGGTGGCGGCGGAGGTGGCCAGGTGGGAGATGGATCGCGCCGTTGATAACAGCTGCACCCGGTGATGCGCCCTGGACGGGACGGGACACGCCCTGACCCTGGCCTAGCCTCGGCCCACCTGGCTCCCTCGGTAAAAGATCATGTCATGCAAATACTGGAAACAAACAAACGTGTTTGAATGTCCTCCTTGAAAATTAATACATTTACTGTCCATCGCACAAGTAGCAGAGAGAAAATTAGAGGTGTGGTGTTTTCCAACAAAGCATGGCCACCATATGGCCACGTGGGACTCAACCTGTAAGTAAGTCAAATGTCTTGTCCCAAAAGTTCTTTGCGCCCAAATGGAAAATAGGTAGGATCTAAAAAATGTTTACACTTCCAAAGGTCGAATAAGTGTATTGCTGAGGTTCAAAGGAATTTTCATTGAAGCTCACCAACATTCAACACTCACTCAAGTTCAGAGAAGTTCGCCCAAGTTGATAAAAATATTTTGGCGAAGTTCACCGAAGTCTAAAAATGAATGTACCGGAATTCAAGTCTACATATATTTCCCATGATTGGGCCACCCTAAAAATGCCCCAATGATCGTTGCTGCAGTGGCGCCCCGCCGCGCCACCGATAGAGGCGAGCCCATCCCAAAGGTCCCCGCCCCCGCGCGCCAATATTTTGTCGATGGGCTGAAAATAACGCCTGCGGTCGTCTAGCGGAAGGGGACCGCGGGAAGGGCAGGGGAGAGGGAGAGGACGCAGGAGGACGCGCTGCGCCGCGCGGGCGGGAACGCCACGTCCGCTGCACTTTTATCAGGGGCGTAGCCGCGATCGAGGGAGGGAAGGGCAGCAGAACAAACACAACAGCAACGAGAAAGAGGGACAGCAGAACGTGCACGGCACGGCGGCATCACTTTTTCGGATTTTTCCAAGACGCAGTGAAAGAGGTGTGCGTGTCCTTACTAGACGTCTCCATAGCTTGACGGATTGACTTGCACTGCGCGTCAAGACAGTTGAGTTCGTTGTTTGGCGTCGGCGGCGGGAGTTCGACACAAACTGGCTGAAGCGGGTCAGGCCGCTCGTTCAAACGGCTCGGGGGTGCGGCGTTGCGGCGTGGCGTTGTTGCATGCAGGTGCGGTGCGGTTGGGTTGGGCCGGGCTATGGGCCACCTAGCCAGGCCATGGAGGACCATCTGCTCCCCGCCCGCAACCCGCTCCGCTCCGCTGCGCGCGCTAGCCCGCTGGCCTGGCACAAGACCGTCGTCATAACATCACTCTAAACTACTACTATGACATCATGGATGGATGCGCAGCAGAGCCGAGCAGCAGCGAGCAGCCTGGCCAACGACAACAAAGCGAAATAAGGGCACCGGCACGTCGAAATAAGGAATAAGGACGTGGAATGTGGCATCTGCATTGTACGAGTCATTCCTCCTACGATGCTGTGCAGAGTGGCACCCCGGAAAATTCGGTAGGTATACTGCACCGCATGCAGGCTTGCCTACCGCCTCTTACCACAACGTCGCACGGCGCCTTGCGAGTCGGCAACGCGTCCGCACGGCTGCATGCGGTATAGTATAACTATAAATTTGTCTACTGTGGGCTGCTCTGTATAGAAGCTTCGAGGAGCAGGTTGGGGAGTGGGGTTGGGGTTGAGAGGCCGGCTATTGAGAGACCTCGGTGCAGTCTCTCAAGAAGACGCGGCTCAGAATTCAGGAGAGGCCGACAATGGCTAGCAACTGTTTGCCCTCTCGTTAGCACCGTGGCGAGCGGTGCCACGGCGAGACATCTAGGACTCTCCTCCAACAGCCTTGCGGACAGAGAAAAAGACGCACACAATCCTACGCAGAGCAAATGTAGAATCGCAAAAAAAAGGGCTCAAAAATATTACGATCCTGCCAGGATTCGAACCTGGAATCTTCTGATCCGTAGTCAGACGCGTTATCCGTTGCGCCACAGGACCGGATATAGGGGGAGCCTGTCAGCGAGCCGTGTTGGTGAGCGGTGTGGAGGGGATGGGGGGAACAGCTGATTCGGCGACGGAGCTGTCCCCCCCGGCCCTCTCCACAACCCTCTCTCCCCCTGCCCTCCGCCGCGCCGACCGAGCTCGGCGGGCTCGGCCCGCGGCCACACAGACAGGCAGGCAGGCAGCCCGCCAGACGAGCAGCCAGACAGACGGGCAGGCAGCCTGGTTGTTGCTGGCCGGCCATTACCGCTTTATCTCTTCCGCGGCCCAAAGCGTCTCTTCTCGCTTCCACTACTATTGCCGTTTGCGGGGGAAAATATATATATCCACTCCAGGTAAACGTCGCAAGGGGAAGTACCACCCGGGAATGCGTCTGGCTCTGTGACACACATCATGCGGAACGAGAAATATAAGGCCGGCAGTTTGCGGTCATGATATCCAACCACCATCCGCCAAACGTGGTTTTTGAAAAACACACAAACTTCGAACTTCAACATAGATAATTTATGCAGCTCGTCTTTGGTTTTCTCTATCAATTGACATTTTTCAAAATGTATTAAAACAGGGATTAGAAAATAAAGACCTTTCGAGTTGTCCTATTAAGAAGGCTGTTCGAAAGTAACATTCTGGAGTCCACTCTGGGACTCCTCTCCAGGGAGGCCCCCCGTGAACCAAGAGTGCCCGACCCTATTTTCTTATCATTTTGAAATTTGACACGAATGTACAGTACAGCCTTCAGATAGCCATCTGCAGAGAGCGCTCTTTGCCGGGGCCGCTGACGCTCTGCTCCGTGATTCAGCAGCGATTCTTGCCATTCACGACGCCGTGGTCATTTTCCCTCGTGATTTTCGCAACAACCCTTCCTCACGACTCCGGCCACGACAAACCCGACCTGACATTGCTCCATGCAAACAAGAAGCGACGACGCGGGCGGGAGACGATTGGGAAGAGGGGGGGGGGGGGGAGGAGGGATTTCTGCACAGACTGGAAATGTCCAAGTCTCCCTCTGCTGCTCGTATGGAGAGTATGTGGACGGTATAAAAAGAAATATACGGACACAAGTCACGCCCCCTTGGAGGCAGCTTTTGCACACGAGCAAGTGTTTTCAACTGCACACTTGAAACAAGAGTATATTTGTGTATACACATTTCGCGGGGAGCTCGGTGCGTCGTGAGCGTCAGCAGCCGAGTGTTGTTGACGTCCCCCAGGTCGTGCGTGTGTTTGCGTGGCCGCCGAGTGGTCGCCGCCCCCCACTGTGGCTCAGCGAGAGGCTTTGGCACTGGAATGCAAATTCCAGACCGGAGGGTCAGGGGGGAAGGAAGGGGGCTTCAATCTCCAGTGTCCTCTATAAACAATGTGCACTGGAGGCTGGTTCTGAGGGGGCTGACCTCAAGGACCTCGCAAAGAGACGGGCTCAATTTTCTTATTTTTTTGTATTATTATACGATTATGATTAAGTATTATTATTATTATTTGGGTGGACGCCAGGTGGTCCCCGTCGCCGGCCCGACCTACATCTCGGCGCCATCAGAAGCAGCAGGTCCCCGTCCGCCGTCCGTCCCGCCCGAGGCGCGCGGTCATGCAGACTTCCTTCTTCTTCCCCCCTCGCGCGCGACACTCCACCCGACAGCCTGTCAACCGAAAAGAGTTGCCTAACGCCGCCACCTGACGGAAACTGACGCATAGCCCCCCAAGCCCCCTATCAACGCTCGCGCAGGCCTTCTCGGGAGTAAAATTGTACACAGGACGCCGCTCTTGTGCGAAGCTCTAACAAACCCGGAGGCGTTGAGGTCTCCCGAGAGAAACCATAAACGGCTCGAAAATATTTTTCGGTCTTCCTATTAGAGCCGTGCGAAGACGGACCACACCCCTCTGGCTACACTGTTGAAAACTAACGAAGGCCGTTGACTACATTCAGGCACGATGGGCACGACAAACTAATCGATTGAGTAGTAATGTATCGAGTAAGGAGGGAAGTAGTCAATCTAAAGGCGTCGAAAAGAGGTGTCATGGAAACACAATTTTGTCCGAGGTCAAATCAATTCAGTTCTTTGCGAAATTTGCTTTGACTCTAAGAATAATTACCATTCATCGGATTAAATGGAATCCTGCGTGAAGCATTAGTGGCGGCGTCCCCAGAACACGTACCTGGAACAAGTCATAAGACAAAAATTAGTTTTCCTGGACAGACTGCCATATATACGTGTCATCACAACTTTTTCGAAAGTGTCGACGCGATGAGCGACTGGACTGACGGCACAAAGCACTTTTGCTCGGCCATTTACGCCCAGCAGCAGTGCGGACTCGCCCGTCGACCGTCAGACACTAATCGAAGCGAATTAGTGGCGCCGGGCGCTCACAGCTCGGCTCGGGTGGCGCCACCGCAGCGCTCTCCGAGGCACCAAGGTGACAAGGGTGTTGGCGCCGCCGCGGGCGCCTCTGCGCCGCCGTCCAGCCCACGGCAAACCTGCCTGCGCCGCCGACTTCGAACAGGAGGAAAAGTTGCCAAAGTCAACGCTGCTGCACTCCTGCATGCTCCTTGCCAAGCCGACACGAGGGTGGTGGGTGGGGGTGGTGG